AAAAAAAAAAAAACCTGCTGAATCTTGTATTTTAACCTCCTCCACTTAAAGCAAGAATCCACATGATTACTCTGAGCTTCCAAGTGGACTAAAGGGCTGGCCTTCTAAGTGGGTTTCACCATCTTTCCTTCCAGCGAAATGACCTTCTGAGTAAGGGGCTCACATATGACATCACCTTGGAAGGAAGGGGATGGGCAGGAGGGAAAACTATCAGATGACTGGCTTCAGGTTCAAATTTTTTATAGGGGGCCTGAAACTGGTGAGCTTTCCACTGTAGGCAACACACAAAGTTTACTTTCTTTCCTAACTTTAATGCTGCCAGAATACACATGTACTCTTACTTTCTTAGGAGAAAATGTGTCATTTGATTTCCTTCCAGTTTATGTACTCGTGCCAACAACTAAAATGCTTAAAGAACCAAAATGAATTGCTACCCAGAAACGGTGGTCAAAGTTCCAAAATTTGATCAATAAAATTGCTCATCTACTCACAAATTAATCTTCAGCCAGTAAAGTTACGCATTTTCGAGGTTATGAGTACACCTGCACTGTTAAGCATTTATTTCATTTGTTTAAGCAATCTTCAGAAGTATATAAATATTTATAAAAGAGAGCCTATGCTGGGTGCAGTGGCTCATGCCTGTAATCCTAACACTTTGGGAGGTCGAGGCAGGTGGATCACCTGAGGTCAGGGGTTCAAGACCAGCCTGGTCAACATGGCAAAACCAAGTGTCTACTAAAATTACAAAAATTAGCTGGGCGTAGTGGTGCATGCCTGTAGCCCCAGCTACTCGGGAGGCTGAGCAGGAGAATCACTTGAACCTGGAAGATGGAGGTTGCAGTCAGCCAAGATCGCTCCACTGCACTCCAGCCTGGGTGAAAGAGCGAGACTCCATCTCAAAAAAAAAAAAAAAAGAGCCTACTATTTTTACTTATCTGTAATTTTCTTTTTGCAGCAAAACGTTAATTTGTTTACAACTCATAAGTCTCCTGAAGGCAGGGTCTGTCTCTTCAACAGTTCTGTATCCCATGAACACCAGCACCATGCCCAGCCTGCTTTGGAAATGATCACCAACTTGCACTTAATTAATTCAGATCACTCTGATTCTGAATTTATGATGGGGCCAATTTTCAATTTTCATTTGTATCATTCATAAAAAAATTTGCAAAGCAAATGAACAGACTAAGTAAAAAGATAATTTCAGTTACTAAGTAGAATATTTCTCAAGAACTTCAGAAGCAGTATCTATACCCGATTAATGCCTTCATTAATAAACCACATCATCCAAGAATGTGACCAGCTCAGATTTGGTTCAGTATGTGGATCTGCAAAGAGTGGCATTTCTCTCTTATTTACTCTCATCTCCCTGAAATTAGACCAAATTGGTGATGTTTGACTACATTTTATGATCTCTATCGAGTAACCACTTATAGCCTCCTCTAACTTTCCATTTTCTTTTGTTTGTATCATCAGCCTGTGAAACCAGAGAGCGCTGCCAAACATAAAGCAGGGAAGTGTGAGATATGCTTAAAATATGAGTCACAGTATATTTGGGGATTTGGGTTTCTTTTTTTTTTTTCCCCCTCAAGCTATCAGCAGATCAAATCCTCCCTCCCTGTCAAGCCTTCCTCTATGCAGAAGATCTGAAATTTGCTAAAATCGCTCTCTCGGTGTAGTTATGAAGGGTGAGAAGATCAGAGATGAGCACTGTTAAGATTTGCTGTAGGATTTCCCTTTCATTTCAGAGCCACTCCGGCGGAGATGCCTCAGCGAGGATGCAGTATGGCAAGATATATTTAAATATGAAGGTTATTCCTTCTGTGAATCACCAAGTCTATATGCATATTTTTATAATGAGGTAATATACCATGTGGCCTAGGATAGTAATTTCTCCTCTGTTTGTGGAAGGCCAGCCAACCTAATAAAGCTTACTGAATGTGCATGACCCTATCAGGCAGCTGAGGGGTCCTTCAGCAATCGTCTGTGATACACACACACACCAGTCCACCAACCCTTTAGATTTCTTTTCCCCCGCCAAATCTTAAAGCTGGTCTAAATTCTCTGCTTGTCAACTCCTCTACTTGGGGGGTAGGAAAAAAAATCAAGACATCTTCTTTACCAAAACCAGCATTCAAGATTACCCCTTCTCCCCCCACTTTTTATACAGACTGAAGAGCTCAGCAGAATGTGTGAGGTTGGTTTTGACACTGTCCTTGCCAAGAAAAACGAAGCCCTCTATATCATCCTCTTCTGCATGGTGGCTAAAAACCCTGGAACAGGCAAGAAGAAAAAGAGCCCTCAAAAGGAAATCCCCTGAAACTTTACTTCTTATATTTAGCCCTCAAGGAACTTCGTTCATCTTGGAAAAGAAGTTACCTAAAAATGCCATATGTTTTTAAAAAGCAAGTATGAGGGAAAATAATTCTACCATAAAAAAATCACAAATGATATTCAATACTGAAGAGCAGTGTGATCAGGCAGATTGTGTATGTGTGTATTTTTTTATTATCTCTAACCAAAGCTCTACTATGTGTAAGATTTCCCCCCCAATAATATATTTTCATTTTCCCAATGCACTTGAGGTCTGATGAATTCAAGAGGACTCGGGGTATTTTTAAGGCTGTGAGAGCTCCAAGAGGGAGGCAAAAAGAATGGACCATCATTTGAATCAATGAGTGACAGGCTGGGCTAGCTCCCTGTATACATTAATAAATTAGAATTTTAATTGTGTCTCTGTCCACAGGAGATGCCCCAGTACTTTAATATGTACCAACAATTGGCTATGTTATGGAATCTGCAATGTGGCCTCCGCTGCTGACCTCTGAAACACAATTCCCAGTCTGACTACGGAAACTGTTCAGTTTGATCCTTTCAACTTATTTGAATCCTGACAAATAAGCTCACAGCTGAAAGGTCAATATAGTCATATTTCATCCTCCAGAGCTGTTCTTAAGACATCTGCACAACAAAGCACTTCTTATAGCACCTGACATGGGCCCTCAATGGCACTATACCTCATTAAAAATGTCCCCTGCATGCGCATGCATTCCAAGGCACATGGTCTGGTGATGGTTTACCAAATAAGTGTTTACAGAAGGGTTAGTAAACAAGGCACATTGTCAACTCTTCCAATAAAGTGTCACTATAGTGCTGAACTCTCTCTGGAAAGTGAGTTTCCCAAGTACATGTAGAAGAACTAGAACTTGTTGGTCAAGGTCAGTTTGATCTTTGCGGATAATCTGGGAACAGGCTGTGGTTCACCCTGACCTGTGAAAAGTAAACACAAGCTAGAATTTAGGTTGACCTCATTATCCAATTAATTGGCACCAAGTTATACACCTATCAGCTACCGCTTACAGATTCTGTCCCCTCCTGTGATAGGGATGCCCACCTTCAGCAATGAAAGTAGTCTGAACCACTTAGCACCCGGGTGCCAAGTGCCCTCTCTTACATGTGAGCATGAAGACCCTGATTCAAGTTTCTTTGAAATTTCTATTACAATTTTCTACTTTGAGTCAAAAATCCAAATTAGAATTTTTTTTTTTTTTTTTTTTTTGAGATGGAGTTTCACTCTTGTCACCCAGGCTGGAGCACAGTGGTGCAATCTTGGCTCACTGCAACCTCCACCTCCCAGGTTCAAGCGATTCTCCTGCCTCAGCCTCCCTAGTAGCTGGGATTACAGGCACCTGCCACCAAGCCTGGCTAATTTTTATATTTTTGGTAGAGATGGAGTTTCACCATGTTGGCCAGCCTGGTCTCAAACTCCTGACCTCAAGTGATCCGCCTGCCTCAGCTTCTCAAAGTGCTGGGATTACAGGTGTGAGCCACCATGCCCAGCCACAAATTAGATTTTTATAAACTTACTCCTTCTTCTACTCCATTAACCCCTTGCCTTCAACGTGCCTGAAATCAGAAGTTGCTAGAACAACCATTTTTGTATCTTTACATAAAAATTTCTTGCCACTTAAAAATGATGACCTAGAGGGCCGGGCGCGGTGGCTCAAGCCTGTAATCCCAGCACTTTGGGAGGCCGAGACGGGCGGATCACGAGGTCAGGAGATCGAGACCATCCTGGCTAACACAGTGAAACCCCGTCTCTACTAAAAAATACAAAAAACTAGCCGGGCGAGGTGGCAGGCGCCTGTAGTCCCAGCTACTCAGGAGGCTGAGGCAGGAGAATGGCGTAAATCCGGGAGGCGGAGCTTGCAGTGAGCCGAGATCTGGCCACTGCACTCCAGCCTGGGCGACAGAGCGAGACTCCGCCTCAAAAAAAAAAAAAAAAAAAAAAAAAAAAAAATGATGACCTAGAAACATTCTGAACATATCCACTGAAGAATTGGGTATATATTAGAATCATTACAAGACATAATATTAAAAGTACCACATCCTCCTCAGGCCAAGTCATAGTTCTTGATGCTACTGACATTCTGGGATGAATTACAGTGTGTTGTGTCCTGTGCATTGCAGGGTGTTTGGCAAGATCCCGGCCTGTACCTACTGGATGCCAGCAACACCTCTGCCCTGCTAGTTGTGGCAACCAAAAACGTCTCTAGACATTGCCCATTGTCCTCTGGTGGGGGGCAGCAGTGGGGGGGCGGGGGGGGGGAATCATCCCTATTGAGGATGACTACACTAAAATAAGTGTGTGTCTGTGTGTTTATCCCATTTCCAGATGCAACATAAGAGAATGTGGTGACAATTCTGAGTACTATGAACTTTTCTCACTGGTAACCTACACTGCCTATCAGCAACTCAACACTTGCAACTCCTTATCCTTCTATTATAATTCACCGATCAGGAGATCTTACGCCTGACAATAAAACTTTTGGTCAAATACACATTTTCCCCAAAATGTTATACCCTGCTAGTAAACCAAAAATGCACTTTCCACAGAAGATTTTCTTACATGATTTGCAATGCTCAACACAATCCACTCCTGAACTGCTTATCAGTTATCCCAAAGGGTAGAATGTCAATTTAAAAAGAAAAAGAATTGTTACCTGAAGAGCTGGTTGTTTGTCATTCCTCTTGGGAGATTTTAATCCACTAACTTGCTGCTGCTGTTGCTGCTGAAGGAGGAGCTGTCTTGCCACCTGAAGTGCCTGGAAGGAAAAACAGATGAAAATCCTTTGCGTTACTACACAGGTTCGGGGGACTCTTCATAAAAAAGGATTCCAGGAAGTGCGCTTTGGGACTGGGTCCTGACTTTCCTATTTCCTGGCAAATGAAAACAGCAAACGAAACTTCCCATCAGTCTTAGTTGGAAAACTTTCCAGAATTTGTTTACGTTTCCTTTGACTTGGTCAATTTCATCCACAGTTCCACAGGCATCTAAGCACATACTTTATTCCTACTACAGATCTGACATGAAATTTAAGACCATGAGTGATTGGGACTCTGAAGAAAGATGACAGAGACACTAGGAGGAACCCGGGCAAAGAGGAAAACTTGGGAGACACTACAGGGCCCTTTTTTAGGATCACCTTCACCCTCCCCCCAGTTCTTCTTGGGGAAATGTGGGGACTCAAGTTGAAAGTAATACTTTCACCCGATCTGAGTCCAAATAAAAAGAAACAACTAAGTGGTGGATCACAGGAAAAGTATACACTGGTTAGGCTATCTAGGAAGGAAGATGAAACAGATGAGACATACCTAGGATGACCTTGATAGAAATCAGAGAGGAAAATTTGGCAAATGTGATCTCTAGTCATCTTAAAGAGGAACATTATGTATCTGTGAACAAAACTGGTTACGTTTATTACAAATGACCCTTTCAGGCTTACAATATGGAAAGGTTTTTCCTTAAAGGTAGACATTGGGGAGGTAGTATGAATTGGAGATAAAGCAGGAAGAAAACAGAAGAGTCCTCTAAAATGTTTAACATATGACTGACAAATCTTTTTAAAAGTTCAAGACTGGGCGTGGTGGTTCACGCCTGTAATCCCAGCACTTTGGGAGACTGAGGCGGGCAGATCACTTGAGGTCAGGAGTTTGAGACCAGCCTGGCCAACATGGTGAAACCCTGTCTCTACTAAAAATACAAACATCAGCTTGGTGTGGTGGCAGATGCCTGTAATCCCAGCTACTTGGGAGGCTGAGGCAGAAGAATCGCTTGAATCCAGAAGGCGGAGGTTGGGGTGAATTGAGATAGCACCACTGCGCTTCAGCCTGGGTAGCAGAATAAGTGTCCACCTCAAAAAATAAAATAAAATAAAATAAATAAAAGTTCAAGTAAAAAAGAAAAAAACAATGTCATTGATACACCCCCACGAAGACATTCACTGCCAAAGAATTCAGAACAAGAATAATGGCTAGCCACACACCTTTCCAAAGATGGCAGTAGGATTAGCAACAGAAAACTGAAGTTTGAGGATATTGTGCTAGAAAGTCATATGAAAAGTTGGGTTACTTGAGTCAATGCAGCTGAGAACCAAGAATGGCAGAGAACATGGCAGAGATGTCGAGAATGCTCATTAAATGGTGTGCTTAGAGTTTAGACACAAAATGAGACTTCTTATTATATGAATAATAATTTCTATATGGTAACCAAATTATTTGTGCATCAAAGAAGAGGCACACATAGATGTCATCAATACATCAAAAGGACCTGAGGCTATAGTCTTAGAAACTTAGCGTAACGGACTTATGATGGTAGTGTGTTCCTTAAAAAGGAACAGGTACTTCATTTATATAAGAAAATAACATGTATATTTACAAGAAAAGTTACAGGGACAATGGTGGAAGGGAAGAGAGGTAAGAGGGCCTGGGTGTCCCTGTGCATTGAACTCAGAAGAAAGAGAAAACAGAGTAGTCTAGAGGATTAGTGTTCATGAGCAGACACCTAAAAACATGGAATGTGCAAGAACAGTGCTTCTCCTAAAAGGACACGCTCACTGAACTGTGCTCATAACTAGAGTTGTAACACATAATATTTTTAAGACACTGTGTAAGGTTGAGTGGCGCCTTTGTGTTTAAGAGGTGCTAATGAAAGCTGACAAACACAAGCACCGATACATAAGTGACAAGGAAAAGACCACGAGAAAAGTGGAACCCTGCTATCCCACCTCCCTACTACGTCCACCCCCGTGTCCCAGGGAGGCCTTCTGCCTACTGAACTCACCACGACCAGCCCTTCAGATGTAATGCACGGGCTAGTTCGGCTGTGAAGGGAGAGACAGATTCGACAAGGCCTGCCTGGAAGAGCCTCGAGAAAAGGGGCTGTCTGAGTGGGGCATCTGGAAGCCAAGACGCCTGGGAGAGTTGCCTGAGACTCTAGCCTGCTGTCTCAGGGAGGATTCACCATCACTGGACTCCGGGTTTCCTTGTCTCCTTGGAGACGCTCAGTACATGCGTAGGTGTAAAAGTGGGCAGAGTGAAGATTTCATTTATATCATATAAGAAAAATAGTCCCAGTCCCCTTTGCAAGGTGTCTGCAGGAGCAAAAGCCTCTTCTCCTACTATATATGTTCCCTTAGTTATTTCACATGAAGGTTTTACGGCTTTTTAATGTAGAAAGGGAACGGTTATATATTTTAAGTGCTATCATCAGGGTTCTCAGAATAATAGACCGATCAGCAAAGAACGGTTTGGTTGCTAGTTGGAAAGGCAGAGAGAGGGACTGTAGATGACAGTGCAGAGAAAAATATGGTGGGGAAGAGGAGAAAGGTTACACACACATTTAACACTAAAATAAAGCAAGCAAAGAAAAACAAAGTAATGAAGACTCTATATAACTTATACTCCACCAAATACTGGGAGAACAGGCACTCACTTTTTATTATTATTATTATTATTATTATTATTTTTTTTTTTTTTTTTAAGACGGAGTCTCACTCTGTCACCCAGGCTGGAGTGCAGTGGTGAGATCTCGGCTCACTGCAATCTCTGCCTCCCGGATTCAAGTACTTCTCCTGCCTCAGCCTCCTGAGTAGCTGGGACTACAGACGTGTGTCACTACACCTGGTGAATTTTTGTATTTTTAGTAGACATGGAGTTTTGCCATGTTGGCGAGGCTGGTCTCTAACTCCTGACCTCAGGTGATCCACCCGCCTCGGCCTCCCAAAGTGCTGGAATTACAGGTGTGAGCCACTGTACCCGGCCTCAATTTTTAAACAGTCAAGTCTCAGAGCAGCTATAGTCAACTCCTCAGTTCAGCGAAGTGTCTTCGAGAAAAACATACACACATATACACAAAACTATTCTTTTTTTTGGCGGGGGGAGGAGGGGGCAAAATCTTGCTCTGTTGCCCAGGCTGGAGTGCAGTAGCGCAATCTTGGTTCACTGCAACCTCTGCCTCCTGGTTTCAAGCAATTCTCCTGCCCAAGCCTCCCGAGTAGCTGGGACTATAGGCACCTGCCACCATGCCTTGCTAGTTTTTGTGTTTTTAGTAGAGACAGGGTTTTGTCATGTTGGCCAGGCTGGTCTCAAACTCCCGACCTCAGTGATCTGCCCGCCTCAGCTTCCCAAAGTGCTGGGATTACAGGCATGAGCTATCGTGTCCGGCCATCACAAAACTATTCTTATATGAGCATGGTCTCATAAATGTACATAAGCAAAGGAAAGTATAGAACTTAAACCTAAGTTTTCAACAAATGCTTACTGAGCTGGCTCTACAGAATGATCACACATTTCAAAATTAGCTACTAGGATCCACAGATTTAATTTTTCTGGTTTGAAGGGGGTAAAAAAGTCATACCTTATTTTTTTCAGACCCAATATAGGGTACCTGAACTTAAGTAATCATATTGCAAACCCCAGCCTCTTCATACCATCTCAAACAGAGGCCCACTAAAGATGATAATCCAAGATACAAGCACAGGGGGAAAAGGTTTGCAAACTTGTGTGAACCCAAGGGAAACTGTAGCCGACCTACTGAACAGAGAACACCACAAGATAAAGATGTGCAAACTGGCTTCCAAATTTCAGCCCCCAAATGAATAAACACAGGTAAAATAACTTTAAATATTTGGGATGGAGAAACAACACTAGTGCAGAGAATAATTCATTTTGATATGAATTGCTATGAATTATCCCACAATAATTCCCCAGCTTTATCAGGAGTATGTTAACAGAGTAGGAACAAATTATTATCCATATCCTCCCCAAATTAAAATCCATTTAAAAATTGCCTTAGGTCTCAGCAGGAGTTTTAAAACCTAACTGAACAGAACTTATAACATGCTTTGAAATCAGTCACTAAAAGGTGTTTCCTTTCCATGATATATAAATTACTGTGGTCTAGATTTTAAATTGTCACATGCAAGGAGAGGCAATAAATCCTTAATGTTTAACACTATGTATCTGGGCATTATAATACAAATATCCAGCATCTACGATTTGTAAAAAGTAAAAAAACGCTTATTATAATGTTCAGTGTGGGACAGTGAAAAATGTGCAATGACTGATGGGATCCCCTTTGGAAACTATGTCAGAGATCTATGTTCACCATGTTTCCTGTAGATGATGACTTGATAGCCATTTTTACTTGTTATGTGATCAGAACAGATTATGTCCTTCATCTCCAACTCCACTGCCTAAACCCCAGAGATAATCTTTTTTTTTTTTTTTTTCTTCGAGCCAAGGTCTCACTCTGTTGCCTGGGCTGCAGTGCAGTAGCACAATCATGGCTCACCGTAGCCTTGACCTCCTGGGCTCAAACAATCCTCCCACCTCAGCCTCCTGAGTAGCTGGGACTACAGGCATGGGCCACCACACCCAGCTAATTTTTTCATTTTTGTAGAGACAGGATCTCACTGTGTTGTCCCAGCTGGTTTCAAACTTCTGGGCTCAAGCAATCCTCCCACTTTGGCCTCTCAGAGTGTTGGGATTACAGCTGTGAGTCACAGTGCCAGGCCAGAGATTACTCCAATACAACTGAGGAGTGAGAATGGACTTTTCTTATTCTTATAACAATATCTCAATCACAATTAGAGAAAAGTCCCTTAGGATATATTGTTTGAAGATAAAATTAGATTCTCTGGATACAGAATGTGTGTGGATATGTGTTTGAGTTTATGGGAGAGGGAGACAGAAGGGTGAAAAAGGAGGAAGGAGAGGGCAAGCAGCAGAAAGAGAGAGACAGAAAGGATATGAATAAATGAAT